ACAGCTGGATGTCTATAGCAGGAAAAGCTAACCTGTAAGGTAAAAAAAGATTTTAAAAAACAACCTGGACGGTTAAGTCCAGTCAAAGGCGACTATGGGGTTGCAGTGTTCATCTCGCTTTCAGGCCGAGGGAGCCGGCATTTGTCCACAGACAGCTTTCTGGGTCGTGGCCAGCATGACTAAACCACTTCTGGCACAACGGAACACAGTGACGGAAACCAGAGCACACGGAAAATGCCATTTACTCTCCTGCCACAGCAGTACCTATTTATCTACTTGCTTTCGAACTGCTAGGTTGACAGGAGCTGGGACAGAGCAATGGGAGCTCACTCCGTCGTGGGGATCCGAACCTCCGACCTTCTGATTGGCAAGCCCAAGAGGCTCAGTTGTTTAGACCGCAGCACCACCCCTGTTCCCTTGGATGTTGATGGACGACAACTCCCATCATCCTCAGCTAGCATGGCCAACTAGGTGGTCATTTCAATTATTTTATTGCATTTATAGATTGCCTTTCTGATTTTAAGGTACTAAAACAAATGCATGATATAAAATGTAAAATTGGCCCTGGGACACACATTGTCTGTCTGTCTGTCTGTCTGTCTGTCTGTCTGTCTGTCTGTCTGCATCTATGCTGCCTTTGCCCACATCCATTGCTCTCTTTTTCCTTCCAACAGGGCAGATGGTGATAGTTAGCACTGGAACTGAGGTGGGAAAGAACCTGACTGGACCAGGCCTCCATGTTGTCACTGCCTGCCTCCCTTGCTCTCGTCTTCCTTCCCACTGAGCATGTGATGGCCAAAGGCCCATGTGGTGGAAGGAGAAAGCCAAGCATGAGCAGACCTCAATGTTGCCTTTGTCTAACCTTCCTTCCTTCCTTCCTTCCTTCCTTCCTTCCTTCCTGATATTGACCATTGGCCCTGTGGTGCTGGAGCAGTTCCTGGTGCTATCCCTTGGCCATCTCTCTTGCTCTTTTCTTCTAGAAACATCTGGAGGGCCGCAGGTTAGCCATGCCTGGTCTACCTGGAAGCTACACATGTACACTTGCATTTGGAGACCCACCTGTTGCTTCCTTAGACAAATGGGAGCCAGGAGCCCCTGCTGATCTACTGCAAATCACCCAGAGATCTATAAGTAGATCCCAACCTGCCATCTGTCCTTCCCACCCACGTTCTAAACAGACCAAAAAGGCAAACAGGTTATCTTTGCGGGGTTCTTTGCTCTACCGATTATCGTGAGGAAAAGATTTCAGGACCTCATCTTTCCAACAGTGAGAAACCGCCTCTTCAAATCAAGCCTAAATGAAAGCAAACACCCCGAGGCTCCAGCTCTACAGGCACTAAGATGGGATGGAATAAGCTCCATTGAACCCAGCAAGATATTTTTTGAGCCAATATACCTACGACTGGGCTGGGAGGAAGCAGAGCAGTTAAACCAGAAGCAGCAGCAGCAACGAATAATAAAAATAAAAAGTCAAGCTAGAATATTTAATTAAAAACAATGGTACAAAGAAAGTTGTTAAATAGTGTGCCACTCTGAGCACCAAGGGAGGGACACCATAAATGTTTCAAAGCGTCTGCTAGGAAACCATATAATTAAACATTTCCTCCTCTCTGCTGGTTTTAGTGGAATAAGTGATGTAAGTGCCTGGGGCACTGAATGTCAGGTGGATAGTCTGCAGAACCCTGCAGCATGTTCTTAAGCAAAATTATGATTCTCCCCCCGCCCCCAAACATGGATCACATCTGCACTATACATTTAACATACTATGATACCTCTGTAATACTCATGGCTTCCCTCAGAAGAAACCTGGGAAATGTAGTTTTTTAAGGGTGCTGAGAATTCTTAGGAGATCCCTGTTCCCCGAGTTCCCGGGGAAGAGGGATTGATTCTTAAAGCACTCGGGGAACTGCAGCTCTGTAAGAGGAATAAGGTAAAGGGACCCCTGACCATTAGGTCCAGTCTTGATCGACTCTGGGGTTGCGGCGCTCATCTCGCTTTATTGGCCAAGGGAGCCGGCGTACAGCTTCCGGGTCATGTGGCCAGCATGACAAAGCCGCTTCTGGCGAACCAGAGCACCGCCCGGAAATGCCGTTTACCTTCCCGCCGGAGCGGTACCTATTTATCTACTTGCACGTTGACGAGCTTTCAAACTGCTAGGTTGGCAGGAGCAGGGACCGAGCAACGGGAGCTCATCCCTTTGCAGGGAACTGAACCGCCGACCTCCTGATCGGCAAGTCCTAGGCTCTGTGGTTTAACCCACAGCGCCACCCACGTCCCTGTAAGAGGAATAGGGGTCTCCTAACAACTCTCAGCACCCTTAATGAACTACAGTTCCCAGTATTCTTTAGGGTCATGATGGCTGAAGTGATATCACAGTGCTTCAAATACATAGTGTGGTTGTGGCCCCTGGTATGTGTGCACAAGAAAAAAAGACTGTTCTGCAACTGGGGGCGGATAAATCTGCCTTTTTCAGTTTCTCTCAGTTGTTATTTTTTTTTCCAATCCTGTGTTCAGTTCACTCCACTTCTGCATCAGTCTGCATTTTTCTTTTAAAAAAGCACAAAATTCATATAAATTTTCTGCACTTCTCTTATTATTTATTATACATGCATTTTGTATGCATTTTGATTTAATATACACATTTTTGCAAGCAATTTATCCATAAATGCATATCTGTGCACTTTCTAATATACGCATTTCTGTATGCATTTATTTTATTTTTTTTTACTGCAGAATTGAATGGCAAAATTCAAGAATTTGTTTTGCAGGGGCTGTGCCAGAATGGCAACTAGACATTCAGTACTGGCAACTGCAAGCTTGGTTTAACGAGACATTTGGCACTTAGCTTATATATCTAAGTTTCTAACAGCGTGCAAACAAACATAAAGCTTTCAAACCACACACACACAGAGGGATCCCGTGTGGTGTAACGGATAAGAGTGTTAGAGAGCAGGATTCGAATCTGACGGAGGACCTATTGCTCTCTGGTACCACCAGTGGTAAGTGTGATGGGAGCTGTGGTCAGGGAACACATGGAGGGCTAGGGAAGAAGAAGCCCCTCCTGACTTCGGGAGATGGGCTTCTTCCAATCCCAGGAGACCATTCTGGTTTAAACTCAACATACGCTAATAGAATTCAGAATTTCTCACCAGCATACAGTGTTGTGTAGTGGTTAGAGTGTCTGGCCTGAGTTCGAAATCCCCACTTAGCCAGGACACTCACTGGGTACCCTTGGGCCTATCCCTCACTCTCAGCCTCACCTACTTCACAGGGTTGTTGTGATGATAAAGTGGGGGAGGGAAGAACCATGTACTCCTGAGAGCAGTGGTCCCCTAACTTTTTCAGCCCACTGCCCCACTGGTTCCATAAACTCATCCCCAGTGCCCCCTAACCTACGCTATAAAAAGCATTCAGAACTGCAGTTTTCATAACCCACTAAGGAATATACACAGTAAAATTCGAAACAGCAACAATTAATTGCACATTTATTCGAAGCCCAGTTAAAACTGTTTGGTTTAACTGATTCAACAAAATTGATGAACTCGATCCACTAATGCCAGCTTTTCAAAACCTGATGGTAATTTACCCCGGGAGAACCCCTCTGCTGCCTCCTTACCTCTTAGTGCTCTCCTAGGTAATCCCACTGCTGCCGCCCCCCCAGCAGTAACACCCACTTTGGAAACTACAGTCGTACCTTGGTTTTCGAACAGCTTAGTTCTCGAACGTTTTGGCTCCCGAACGCCACAAACCCGGAAGTGAGTGTTCCGGTTTGCGAATTATTTTTGGAAGCCGAATGTCCGACGGGGTTTCCAGCTGGCTTCCTGCAGCCAATCAGAAGCCGCGCTTTGATTTCCGAACGTTTTGGAAATCGAACAGACTTCCGGAACGGATTCTGTTCGACTTCCGAGGTACGACTGTACAGTTTGCACCCTGAAGCGAACGCAACCTGTGTCTGCGTGTGCGCGGGTCACGATTTGCCGCTTCTGCACATGCGCGTGATGTCATTTTGACCATCTGCGCATGCATGAGTGGCGAAACCTGGAAGTAACACATTCCGTTACTTCCGGGTCACCGTGGCGCGCAACCCGTAAGTGTTCAACCTGAAGCATATTTAACCCAAAGTATGACTGTACTGCCTTAGAGGAAAAGGTGAGATAGAAATGTAACAAAATAAGCAAATAAATTCATCTGAGGAGTGCAGATCTAAGCTGGGAGGCCTTTCCTGATCTTGGGCCAACAGTTAATAAAAGCTTTGCACATATGTCATCTATTTCAAAAGGAGGGGGTGAGAGAAGTTGGTGTTCAGGAACAACTTTCTCCTTCCCCTTGGGAGAAAGCTGGCTGACCGTCTCTCCCCGCTGATCAGAACTGGGACTTCCTTAAGTGCTGTTTAAGCACTCCAGAGGGCCTGTAGTACAAGGCAAGCATTCATTTATATTTAAACAATGGTAACAGAGAAGAGAGAAGACTGCTGAGCTTGGCACTGCAATCCCTGCAAGAAATTCTGGAAGGTAGCTACAGTAGCTGTAAAAGGCTTTGGATAAGGAGCAGTGCGGGGGGGGGGGGTTAGGAATTGAGCGAAAAAGCAGGGAGAAAGTTGGAGAAAGGAAACAGCAAGGAGATTGTAGCAAAGGAGAACTGCAGCAAAAAGGGAAATGGGAACAGAGAAAAAGAGAGGCAAGAAAAAGTAAGGTAGCATTGCAGAACTGGGCAAAAGTTGAAAGAATGGGGGAAAAAGTCTCTATGTTTCCCAAGAATTAATAAAGCCCACAATATCCTTGTATTTGAACTCAGAGGCCTTCCATTTTCCTGGGGGTTGGGGTGGGTGATTTGCTATTGCACCAACTAATCCGCTTTTTAAAAATAAAAATGGTTTTCATCATTTCGTAAAAAGGCAAATGTATACATCCTAACACATGAGGAAAACACATGCCACCCAAAGCACATTGATTCAGAGTACCAACACCTGATTTTAAAGCACAATAAACCCTGCTGTGCAAACCTACAGCTCAGTTGGCAGCGCATGAGACTCTTAATCTCGGGGTTGTGGGTTCGAATCCTGCATTGGGTGAAAAGGGGGTTGGACTAGATTACCCTTGTGCTCCCTTCCAACTCTACAATTCTATGGTTCTGTGATAAGATCAACGTATGCTGCCTTGGGTTCGTTGAAATATGGGCTATAAATGTAACATACGTAAGTATATACTGTATATTATGGCAAAAATCTGCCACCTTAAAACAACTAACTGTCTAAATTAGTGGCATAATTTTGATGTGCAGTACAATGCGGGTGGTGCTGTGGGTTAAACCACAGAGCCTAGGACTTGCTAATCAGTAGGTAGGCGGTTCGAATCCCCGTGACGGGGTGAGCTCCCGTTGCTTGGTCCCTGCTCCTGCCAACCTAGCAGTTCGAAAGCACGTCAAAGTGCAAGTAGATGAATAGGTACCGCTCCAGCGGGAAGGTAAACAGCATTTCCGTGCGCTGCTCTGGTTCACCAGAAGCGGCTTAGTCATGCTGGCAACATGACCCGGAAGCTGTACGCTGGCTCCCTTGGCCAATAAAGCGAGATGAGCACCGCAACCCCAGAGTCGGTCACAACTGGACCTAATGGTCAGGGGTCCCTTTACCTTTACCTTACAATTCTGCTACGGGTTTACTCAGACGTACAGTCCAATGGGCCTTACCCCACAAGGCCATTTTTTGCAGGCTATTCAAACCTGGTTAAGGAATCACCATAATGTCTGCACCGCTCCTCAAAAACTGAGCCTAATTTAAGCCTCTGTAATAAAAATTATATGCCCAGATTTAAGAATCGCTCTCAGCTGCTATAAAGCTCTAAAAACGGGCATGCATCAAGAATGTTCTGGAGCCTGTGTCTCCTTTTTAAAAAAAGGAAAAAGCTGTAACACCCCCCCCCCCTTCACTCTCCTACCCTGTAAATCAAAAATGTCAGTAGAAATTGCTGCCCTTTATCACAAGTTATGGTTTTGCTGACAGTTTTAAAATTAAAAGCTATATCACTGGATGACTTGGAGTAACACATGGCTGGACTCAACACACACACACACACACACACACACACACACACACACGGGCAGTTATGAAGTTCCTTGGCAGAAAATATTTCTGTTCACAGCCTCTTCACTCGCTCATGCTAAGTTGGCAAGATCTCAGCAAAAATATTATTTTGCAAACTGGCAAGTCTTTTTGCTCGCAACTGAGCCACATCGCAGCTCATATTTCACGTGATAGAGCACCCTGCTTGAGCTCCAAGGACGAAGTTCAGTGGATTCCGGGACGTTGTTGGATGGTTTGTGCTAAAAGCCAAGTCACAACGCTACAACAACAGCAATACAATAAATCCGTATTTGAGCTTCTTGTGGACAATCCCATGCAGAGGTGGGAACTCTGTGATTCCTAGATAAGACATGGCAGGTCTCATCCAACTGCTCCTAATATTTTTTTTAACTAAGAAGATTCTCATACTGCCTTTCAATATGAAACTGCAACAATGGCATCTGAAAACACAGCAGAATGTTTTCCGAAAACATTTTAATAATTGAATAGGAACATAGGAAGCTGCCTTATTCCAAGTCAGTCAATTGGGTCCATCTAGCACACTACTAGGGACCATCTAGCTCACTACTAGGGAAGCAGGTGGTGCTGTGGGTTAAACCACAGAGCCTAGGACTTGCTGATCAGAAGGTTGGCGGTTCGAATCCCCGCAACAGCGTGAGCTCCCGTTGCTCGGTCCCTGCTCCTGCCAACCTAGCAGTTCAAAAGCACATCAAAGTGCAAGTAGATAAATAGGTACCCCTCCAGCGGGAAGGTAAACGGCGTTTCCGTGGGTTGCTCTGGTTCACCAGAAGCGGCTTAGTCATGCTGGTCACATGACCCGGAAGCTGTACGCCAGCTCCCTCGGCCAATAAAGCGAGATGAGCGCTGCAACCCCAGAGTCATCCGTGACTGGACCTAATGGTCAGGGGTCCCTTTACCTTTACCTTTAGCTCACTACTGTCCACACTGGCCGGCAGCAGTACTTTGGGGTTTCCAGCAGTAGACATTCCCAGTTCCGCCCGGAGGTGCCAGGAATTGAATACCTGATACCTTCTGCGCACAATGCAGGTGTTCTACCACTGAGCTATGGTGCGCAAAACACAAAACCAGAAACTGCAGAGAAGGAGGGGGGGAAATGTGCTAACAAATTGTACAAAAGTCTAATTAAGTGAAGAATGGTTTAACCTGCTTCTGGAAGGACCATATTGTCTTCTAAAGGTGAGCATACCAAAGTTCTAAGGCCGGTCCTAGACTTCATGAAAGTTGACCTAGGCTCCATGTACAGTGGTACCTCGGGTTACAGACGCTTCAGGTTACAGACTCCATTAACCCAGAAATAGTACCTCAGGTTAAGAACTTTGCTTCAGGATGAGAACAGAAATCGTGTGGCGGTGGTGCAGTGGCAGCGGGAGGCCCCATTAGCTAAAGTGGAACTCAGGTTAAGAACAGTTTCAGGTTAAGAACGGACCTCCAGAACGAATTAAGTTCTTAACCCGAGGTACCACTGTAATTATTTTAAGTTAATTTAATTTATTAGTTTTATACACCACCCTTCATCATAAGATCTCAGGGTGGTTGACAGAATACAGGATAAAAACAAGTAAATAATTAGAAACGAAACAGCAAAACAGTAGCTTTTGGCTAGGCTGGTTAGTATATTTGGGTGTTCCTGGTGCTGTTAAATCGGCATTTTCTGCATTACAGTGGTGCCTCGCAAGACGAAATTAATTCGTTCTGCGAGTTTTTTCGTCTTGCGAATTTTTCGTCTTGCGAAGCACGGTTTCCCATAGGGTATTAACGGTTTTAAGAAAAAGGAAACAAACTTGCAAGACGTTTTCGTTTCTCATCTTGCGAAGCAAGCCCATAGGGAAATTCGTCTTGCAAAGCGACTCAAAAAACGAAAAACTCTTTCGTCTTGCGCGTTTTTCGTCTTGCGAGGCATTCGTCTTGCGAGGTACCACTGTATTTAAGTTCTGTTTTAAACTATTAACTCCTTGAACCTTGGGAAATCGGCTAATAAATGCCTTTCATAATACTTCCTTGGTTATATTCAGCACAAAAGGCATCAGTTTAAAGTATCCTACCATTGGGTGTGGACAGTAACAGAAACATGATTGAAGAATGAGATATAAACATACCGTATTTTTTGCTCCATAAGACGCACTTTTTCCCTCCTAAAAAGTAAGGGGAAATGTGTGTGCGTCTTATGGAGGCGAATGCAGGCAGGAGGCAGGCGGGAAAAGTCCCCAAGAGCCGCACACACGGTCCACATGGTTCTTGCGGGCTTTTCCCCAGGAGGGAGAAGGGACTGACACAGCCAGTCAGTCCCTTCTCCCACTTCGTAGAAAAGCCCTCAGGAGCCACACACCCTTTAAAGAGCGCACGGCTCTTGGGGGCTTTTCCCCAAGGAGGGAGAAGGGACTGACCGGCTGCCCTTCTCCATCCTGGGGAAAAGCCTGCAAGCGCCACACACACGCCCCACACGGCTCGTGAAAGGGAGCGCTGAGCAGAGCCTGGGATACAGGCTCTGCTCAGCCCTCCCTTTAAAAAAAATTTTTTTTCTTTAATTCCCCTTTTAAAAACTAGGTGCGTCTTATGGACCGAAAAATACGGTATATTGAAATCAAACATGTGTAAGACATAGCAAGTTCTGATGAGTTGGGTCTTAAATTTGGGGAAGGTGGTGTCATTCGGGATGGTGCCAAACTGTTCCTCCCAAGCTACCCAGAATCATAGGAAGCTTCCCATTACCAAGTCAGACCATTCATCCATATAACTCAGTACTGTCTACCCTGACTGTCAACAGCTTTCCAGGATTCCAGATTAGGGTCTTCCCCCAACCCTATCTGGAGATGCTGAGAACTGAACCAGGGACCTTCTGCATCCAAAGCAGACCCACTTCCACTGAGCTACAAGCCTTGCCCATTCATTCTCAACAGACCTGAACCAACTGTTGCAGAGAGCTTTTGGTATTAGGCCAAGGGCCACATGAAATGAGGCTGGAGGCCACATGTGGTCCTGGGGGGGTACCCTGGCCCCACTCTTATGCCCAAATAACAGTCCTATGTAGCCCAAAAATGCACCTAGAAGCCTAACAGGTATATTATCTCACTTTTATTGCTCTGAGTTGTAGCCAACTAAGTCTTACTTGGAGCAGACCGACTGAACATGTTCAGATTAGTTAGCTGCATCCATTAGTTCCAATGGGTCTACTCTGAGTAGGACTAAGATTGACTGCAACCTTATGTTTCTTGTTTCATAACAGGGGTCAGCAAACTTTTTCAGCAGGGGTCCAGTCCACTGTCCCTCAGACCTTATGGGGGGCTGGATTATTTTTTTGGGGGGGTGAACAAATTCCTATGCCCCACAAATAACCCAGAGATGCATTTTAAATAAAAGCACATTCTACTCATGGAAAAAAGCTCTGATTCCCAGACCATCCGCGGGCCGGATTTAGAAGGCAACTGGGCCAGATCCATCCCCTGGGCCTTAGTTTGCCTACCCATGCATAAGACCAAGGAAGATACAATAGATGGTAGCCAATCTTAGTCCTACTCAAAGTAGACCTGCTGAAATGAATGAGCATGGCTGACTTACATCCGTTAATTTCAATGGCTCTACTCTGAGCAGAACTAACAATGGGTGATCCAACCCTAAGGCTGGAATCCTACACACACTTACTTGAGAGTAAGTTCTGTTGAACTCAGCAGGGCTTACTTCTGAGTAGTCATGCATAGGCTTGCACCTTAGATTGCCATTTGCAACCCATCACATTTTGCTTAATTACCAAACATGACTCTCAAATTGAAAGGAATTATGGCCTGAATAAAATTTTATTGAACCACAGAACCCAGAGAAAATTCAAATGATTGCACAATTTCTTGAAAAAACAGCCACACCTTCATGAGTTTTTGTGTAGGCTGTATTTAACCTGTCTTTCATTTCATGTCTCACCCTTAATTTAATGAGACAGAAATCTCAGGCTTTACAAGAACACATATTTAGGCTTCCTA